CTGTCTTCTTGTAAAATGTCCCATCCTGTCTGCCCTGAGGCATGGGTCATTACCTTTTGCAGACTTGGCACCGTCTGCTTTCCCTCATCTACCATTCACTAGCAGAAAGGCACACTCAGTTGCAATGCCATCTGACAATAACCTTGGCTATAAGACACTCCTATAGAGATTTAGGCAAAATATTTGATCTGTATTCTATGGCCGACCCCTCCCCCCACAATTGATGGCTCTCTGGAATGTTTCCATCTGAACTCTTTGATTTGGTTTGTTTGTTGATCCTTTAGCTTGGTTCTACTTGAATTTCCAGCACCTGCCAGCCGTGGAAGGCTGTGAGACAGTCTGTTACTTATGTTAGTGCTAGGTAGGTATTTGCTAGTGTCAACATCTAAAGATATATATCTGGTGCTTCACTGACCCTGAGCTTTATTTCCTCACTCTTCTTGGTAACATACTCAAACTTGGATGAGTTTCCTCTTCACCTGCCACTAACATAATATCTGTGCAAATTTTTCGGTGGTGGTGTCTTTCTCTACAAATACTGACGTGTAAGTCATGCTTATCGATGGCTTCCTAAGCATAGGGCAGCTGTTTTGCATATTCACCATACTAATAACTACAGTAAACTATTATGCTGTTATTGTCCTTGACAGTCTGAAGAAACTAAAGCTGCACAGAATATGTAAATTGAGTGAACCTCCGTTTAAACCCAGGAAGGCTGAGTCCAGCCCTCCAGTGTACTGCCTTGTTGGCTGTCTCCAGACACGTTTGCCACTTGCCAGCATCTACCAAACATGCAGCTTCAAGTCCCCAGCACTAGCTAACCCTACTTCCCAGTTATGCTGAGCAGGTGGAGGAGAAATACTTTGGGGTTCAATATGGCTTCACTCATTTCTTTCATTCTAGTGGTTTTAGATGTTTAGCTCAGGCTTTGTAGGTGAGCTTTGTAGGCTTTCACAACTCTACAAAGCCACATGGTGCCTATTTGTGTTTAGCCTTTGGCTATGCTCATCACTATACCACCTGGGCCATACCTGGTCCTCAGTTTGGATCCTCCACAGTTCTTCCTTATCTTTTGAAGCTTTGCCTCATCAGTATGTGTATGCATTCCTATTTAACAGCTGGTCTGACAGCTAGGAAGTCAAGGTGAAAGAAATCTAGTTTCATTTCAAAGAATGATTTTAATTAATTAAAAAAAGTTGTTTTTCTTGCTCAGCTATCTGGCAAAATATTAAGGCAAATAATATAAATAACAAAAGGAGGCTCCATTCCTGACTTTATCTGTTACTACCCAAAAAGGGCAGATAAAATCAAGTATGCCATCTTCCCTACCTCCAGAGACATTGAAAAATATCACAAACCTTCACTTGCTGGTTTCAATAAATTCAAGCAAGAGCTTTATCAGACAGAAATACCCAGGTCCTTCTGTTCTTGGGTGCTCATGCCCCCAAACTCCCTTGGTTCAATGTAGTTACCTGGGAGTTGTTTTTTAAGAGTATTTTATTTGTAAAATTGTGTGTGCTGTGTCTTTTGAGGGCATGCCCCTGAAGCTAGAGTTACTCATGGTTGTGAGCTGGAGTGTAGGTCTGGGATCCAAAGTAGGTCTCTTGGAAAAACCTGGAAACATTCTTAACCATTGATCCATCACCTGCCCCTTTGGGGAGAGTTTTGATGGCCCAAATTCTGATTATGGTCAGTCTCATGGGCGTGTAGTTCTTGATATTTTCTTAAATAAATTACCTTGCTGTGCTGTGTTTTCCTGGGCCAAGAGAATTCTAGATTTCTGTGGACTCTAACTCAGGAAAGATGGTTATAGCCAGTAGCGTTTCAGTTGAGACTTGCTTGGAGAATGGGTGTGGGCCACATAAAGCAATGAGGAAGAGGAGGAAGGATAGTGGAGGAGGAAATACGTGAGCGGACCACCACGTGGAAGGGAATTCACCAGTTGTCTCTTTACCCAGAGCAAGAGATTCTGGTTTAGACCTTTTGGGCCCAAATGTTTTCTGTGGGTGCTTGTCATATGCAAGCTTTTTTATTTATTTTTAAAATCTTGGTTCAGAAACAAACCTTTAGAAACAGTCTAGGTATGTTCTTTGGTAGTTTAAAAGACAGAGACTTACCTGTTCACAAATACAATGAGCCTTCCAAGAGTTACTTAAACTATATTTGTGTAATGTTTCCCTTGACGCATCTAGTTGTCAGACCAGTAGCTAAGGGATACATAGTTACAAGGGTGGGGGCAAAGCTTCAAAGGATACAGTAGAACTTTGGGGGACACAGAGTAAGTACCAAGCACAAGCAGGAACAGGGAGCTACACAGAGTGGCTTGTTTCCAAGTTTGGAACTGCCACAGTTTGAAAAGGCACATGCTTTAAAGTAAATGTTAAATGACAGACCCTGTTCCATCGCAGCCAAATGGGAGGGCTTTGGTAGGGAGTTCAAGGAAGGTCTTCAGTGCTCAAATCCGCTCACTTGACAGACTGTCTAGAGTTTTAGACAGACAAAGCAAAGTGGTTCTTTCTCCTTTCTCTGTACATTTATAACCACCAGTTAGGTTTTCTCCAAGGGTACAAAGGAATGAATTATTTCCCTTCTTCAGATAAATGATTTATTAAAGTTTTCATGAGGAAAAGGGTGAAGTGGTTGGATTATTGAATAATAAGAGGACTTTCTAAGCCCTTGGGTTTTCATTAACCCCTCTTTGTTGTAAGAAATATTCAGGATTTTATCCCTTGTCATTATGTCACTAAAAATGTCATCTAAAGCCATCCCCATTTAATATTTCTCTGAGGATTATGGAAAACCCAAAAGAACTATTTAATCGTTTAATTTTTCTTTCAAGAATTCATTGATGTTAGTGCTTCTATTCCCTTCAAATTTAGATTCAGAGAGCAGGCAGCGAGACCCTGGGTTCTTTGGTTGAAAGCACAAATACTTTTTTAAAACTCTTCCTATTTCCTTTTACCTTTGTTCAAAACTAACACCATTGTGCCGTTTCTTTGGCATAAGGGCGCAAAGGAGCATTTGTGCAGGCACTAGCTGAGGATCATAGCTTTCCTGTGTACAGGACTCAGGTCTTACTCATTTTCTCTTCTCTTAGGAGGGTTTTGGCACACTGATACTTGAATATGACTTAATAGCGTAGAAAAAGTGTTTTGTCAGTGATATTGAATGTCCACACAGGAAGTGTTTATAGGACATAGGTTCATACATTATCTTGAAAAGAGAATGGTAGAGCAGCCAAATTTGTTCTCTTTCTGCAAGCAGGGCCCGCAAACTGGCTAGCCATGCACAGTTGGTAGCATCAGTGACCTTAGAGACAAACTTCAGTCATTATGTAAAAAAGTTATGTCAAATTGAAACAAAGGAATCCCTTTATCTTTCTTCCATCCCATTTCTTTCTCTCTTCCTCTGAATCTCAAGGTCAGTCAAGAAAAATAACCTCCATGTGAAATACCAGGTACAGATCTAATCAGATGCTTCAAAATAGATATTTAAAAATATTGTTCAGCGTGAGGGTAATGTGGGAGATACATGTCTTACACATATCAGAATTGCAACAGAGAGGCTAGATGGGCAGTTGTGTATTTATAGGAATACAATTTTATATCTCTCAGCTCAGATATTTAAGGTCTCTTAGATATGCATGTTAAATACAAACATAAATGGTAGTTATGTTCTCTAGTGTTTTTTTGCTTCAATTAGGTTAAATTTATATCTGTAGCTATAAGTCTTGATGACACATATTATTTTTTAGTTTAGTATTAAATTTTGAGTTAATTGAACTAGCATTTAATTGTTTATGAATCAGAAATGTTTATGCCTTTGCTAAGGAAAACGTATTATATTTAGACCTTAGCATTCCAAACCCAGAAGAAAATTCATTTCTTTCAATTAACTCATTTAAGCTTTAACCCTGTAAGAATTATAAAATCTGTCATTTGCTTATGACGTGCCATCTTCTTGGACCATGTTTTTTCCTGAGGAAATAAACAGCAATCTTTGCAGGGAAAACAAAACAACTCCACCACTTTGAAGTGTGTAAATAATTTATCTAATTTCAAAATATATAAAACAGCACAGAAGGATTTTCCTTTTGGGATTTTTTTTTTCAGGGAAAAGATTTTTTTCCTTAGTATTTCTTGTTTTAAATCTGAAAACCTGTTCTTTCCCCCAGGATTACAGAATTGGCTTTTGTAAAACAAGACTTGAACCATTACACAAGTTCAAGCCATTTTTCTCCTCAAGGTTTAAAAATAGTAACCCTTCTACATCTATGCTGAGGTAATTCCTGGTGAAAGCCATGGATGATAACTCAGGAGGTGATAACAGTAACACAAACAAACATGCTCACAAACATTAAGGCTTTCCAGGGATTTGTGAGCTGTTCCCAGTTTGGGTGAGTTCCCTGAAAGAGGATGGACATCAGCTCCTATTGTGGAAATACGTACCTGCTGGGGTGACATCACTGTTAGAGTACATCCCTGTATTAGAGGTAGCATAGGGGATGATTAATACAAAGAGTATTTTGAAATGGGTGTTCATAATCAAGGAGCCATTCTGATTTTCCTAGAGCAGAGCAGCCATAAATTAAATCACAACGACATTATATCTCTTTGTGTCTGGTATTATGCTAAATATAGAATTTTTAAAAAAAAAAAAAACCCTAATTTCATAGAATACCTAAAATTTGAGAAATTAACCAAATACTTAAATGTGGAATCCTTTGTTTTTTGTTTTGTATTGTTGAGTTTTGTTTTAAAGCAGGAATGAACATTTTCTTAGCTATCCAGGTTGGTAGCACTAATGGCCTTAAAGACAAATCCTATAATAATTCTATTCATAAATAAATGATGATTAACTTCCTAATTTGCATTTATTATAAAATTTCATATTCATTACATACACAAGAGGCCATTTCTACCTTGTTCCCAAATTTGTTGCTAGCCAGATGATCTAGCTGGTTGCCATTCTTAACAGTGAACACCAGGAGGTCATGTCTGTTTCCATGCCGACAGGTCCTCTTGGGAGAGCATCTTCAGTAAGAGCCCGGACATGGTGACTCCTCTCCAGCTCCAGTGTTGCCAGCGCTTGGTGGAGCTTTGCAAGCAGTGCCTGCTTGTGGTTTACAAGTATACAACAGAAACGAGGGGGCCCATCTCAGGCATTGGCCCTGACTGGGGTAACTCCAGGTAAGCCTTACAATCGCAGTTCCCTGTGAGCTTTGTGTAGAGACATGGCACGCAACAGTCTGAAGTTGGGAGTCTCATAAATAGGGGATCATTAAAAAAAAAAAAAAAAAAAAAAACGAAAATAAACCCACTCTCTCATCTACAGAACAGCTTTTATTTGTATAGTCTTTGTCTTTAAAAAAAAAAAAACATAGCAGTAACCACAAACCTGAGGTGACAGATGTAATATGGTTGGAAATAAGCACATTTGATTTATATATTCTTGTTTTCAAATCCTGAGTAAGAGCAACCCCAAAACGTTGGGATAAAATTAACTATTGTTAGGCATTTCAGCATTCATCGCCGGTAACAATGTGGTTGAGAAGGTAGGTGCATTTGGTTTGATTTTATTACTCTGCACGACTCTACCCAGACATTGACACACCAATAAGCAGGAGATGAATTTTTTTTTTTTGTCAAGTTCTACCTCAAAATCGAGTTTCATGCATGTCCAGTTAAAACATGTAGTTTTCTAACACAAGGAAACACAGCAACGAGAAGCAACTGTTAAGCTGCAAAAGTTCAGAATAAAAAGTAGCCCGTTTTAGAATGTTCCAATACAATTACAGTTCCTATTAGCACTGAAGATGGATTAGTGATGGCAAACTGAACCCAGGGTTCTGCACAGGATAGGCGAGTTATCTATGCACTGAGCTACATTCCTAGCCTTTGCCACTTTAGTTTTATTACACGAAAGTTGTAGTCTTACTTAAAAAGCAGAAGAGAGTGAGTCTGAAAATGAAGTCATAGTACAAGAGAGTCAGAAAGAAGGTTAAAAAAATAAGAGAGAAAGGCAGCACTAGAAATACTAGAAATAGAGGCAGCAAAATCATGGCAGGGAGGGCGCTAGAGCCCACTTTCTACCACAGTGACTCCCATCCACAGAGTGGAGGAGTGGATCCCAGTATCTTTCTGTGAATGGACCAACACATATACTTGTCATAGATTTTTTTTTTTCTTTTGTGCACTCTTAGGATAGCTAATGTGTTAATGTGTTTTTAACTCTTTTGCAAATAGTAACTGATTAATCATAACAATTCCAGAGACATAGTTAACTTTATTTTAAATATGTGGAGATTGAAGTTACACTGCAGAGTTTAAATGGGGAATGCAACCCGCGTTAATGGTTTCATTTGATTTGGAAGAATGCTAGCCATGGTTTTGACATGACAGCCCAGAATGAAGAGTCTTTCTTTACCGAGAAACACACTGTGCCCAATGAAGAAAGCTTAGAATCCCCACATAGGAGGAATTTATCAGGGTTCCTTTGTGACATTCCTGAAATTGTGGCTCTTACAACTCAGTTTCAATTAATGGATCAGGTAGCTTTTGTGGGCAAGGCAAAGAGGATGGTTTCCTGCTTAGTCTGGAGGAAGATGTCACACCCCACAGCTGCTTCAGGTCTTTTATTTCCTCCTAATCTTTGTGGACAGGAGAGACATTCCTGTTCCTGAAATTTCAGATGTGGACTTCTGGGACATGCTCAGATGAGCCTGGTGTCTAAGCATGGTTATGTGTCAGTAAATGCACCGTCATTCCTGCACAAGTTCAGAACCTTACGATTTTAAAATCTATACTGGGGAAATGATGTAGATGACCCCAGTTAGTTTTCTAATACTGAATTACAAGATCAAACTCACCCTCTTCAAAGCAGAGTTGGGGCAACACAAAGTTTCTACTACCACTACCCAAAATAGCTTAGTTTCTTCCAAGAGGGCTGGCCTCAAGTGAACATGCACCTTCCCTACAGAAGGCTTGAGCCAGGCAAGCTTGTATCCTCCCTTTAATTCCATTAACCAGTTAGTGCGGTTCTGCCGGGGCCAGGACATTTACACTAGTGAAAGTTAGCTCTTCAGGGAAACCCAAGAAGTGGAGGGAAAGAAACATTTTTGTGCAATATAAACCTATTAAAACTCAGGTGAATGTCACACCAATTTAAGAACATCAGTTTTCTTATATGGAAATGAACCTATAACATTTTACTTTATAGAGTTTATCATTTTTAATGGATTGATTGCTTTTATTTATGAAGTACATCTGATAAAATATTCATGTGTGTATATTGCAGTTAAATAAGGATCAGGATAAACAAATAGGCCAAATAGATTTTTATTCAGGGAGAAATAACTTACAACCTAGACAGATGAACACCAGAAAGTTCCACTGGATGCTCTCCTGTCCGAGTCCTGCCAGCAAGAGAGTGTTCCCAGGCTCTTCCTCATACCTCCTTCCACAGGTCACTTCCACCCATGGCTCCACCCCAATGGGCGTGGTCAGTGCCACAGAAGGAGACAAAGTACATATCTCACTACGTGTGTGTGTGTGTGTGTGTGTGTGTAATTGCAAATACTAGTATACATGAATAAGAATATAGCATATGCATTCATGGGTTATGCTTGGATGCTTTTATGAGATGTGTCTTTGGATATTTTATTTAAAAACCAAAAGAGAGTCAGTTTGCATCACCCAGTTTTATAAACCCATGCATAATGTGTCCCAAGAAGTTTACATATTTTATTATAGGCACTGGTTTCTGATCTTGCAGAAATAACACATCAATAAAAAAAGACAGCACATATATGTCTCATGATAACTAAGCCATTAGAGTGGGTATAGAAACTGAGGTATTCATTTAACAAATGTAAACATCTCTATACATGCTTCAGGATATGAAAGTCTGCGACCAGCCTGATGCTCCACTGCACTAAGATTAGTTGCAAAGTGTGGATTCTCCCATTGCCTTTAGATGTTTGGGCTTTTATGGATTCATTACCAACCTATCTTGAGATTGGAAAAGAGATAACTTAAGTTATTTGTTATAAGACTATGAGGGATGGAGAAATGGTTCAGTGGTTAAGAGCACTCACTGGCTCCTCTTCCAGAGGTCCTGAGTTCAGTTCCCAGCAACCACATGGTGGCTCATGACCATCTGTAATGGGATCTGATCCGCTCTTCTGGTGTGCATGAAGATGGGTCATTCATACATAAAATAAATATTTTTTTTAAAAAAAGACTACTTATCTGCCTTTGAAACCAAAAACCAAACATAGCATTTTTAGCAAAGAAAAAAAAATGCTCAACATAAATGTAAAATATGAAGCTATATATTAGCAAACCGAAACAATTTTAGCTAAGGTAATCCCTCATCCAGCTTCTGCTTCTGGCATTGGTGATAGGTTCCACAATATAAAGAAGAAATGATTCAAGTTTTTGCTACCTAGTAGAATAGCAGACCATGTCAAAAGGTCCAGAGAGCGGGCTGGGGTATGGCTCACAGATAGGTGGGTGTGTGATGGGTGTGTCAGGCCCTGGGTTTGATCCCTGGTATTGTTTCATGTCTCAGGATAATTCACTTTGCCAAATTCAGTTATACTTGTGTGTGAGGAGTAAGGTTTTTCCGCCCGCCGCCGCTGGTCTTGTCCCGCCGCTGCATCAGCCCCAAATAACACACAGAGACTCTGTATTAGATATAATTCTGTTGCCCAGGTACTAGTTTCTTATCGGCTAGCTCTGTTTTAAGTATTAACCCATTTCTGCTGATCTATGTATTTCTCTTATATACATGCCAGCTGACATTCTGCTTTCTCCAGACTCTCCATTTTGACTCCTCCTTACTACTTCCTCTTTCTTCCTTGTCTCCTAGTCCCTCCTATCTTCCTTTCCTATTGGCCAACAGTGCTTTATTCATTAACCAGTATGAGAAATGTATTTACAGAGTGACATCTCCCATCACTTGTAATTAGAAAACTGTTCAGCCAGACAGAAATAGAAGAGAAATAAATGGGCCTCCTGAAATTGAAAAGTTTTTGTAAGGTGAAGGACACCGTAAATAAGGGTGAAAAAAGACAGCCTACAGAATGGGAAAATATCTTCACTACCCCACATCAGATGGAGGGCTGATCTCCAAAATCTATAAAGAAATCAATAAACTAGACATCAAAATACCCAAATAATCCAGTTTTTTTTTTTTAAATGGGGGCACAGATGTAAACAGAGAATTCTCAACAGAAGAACCTCAAATGACTGAAAGACATTTAAGGAATTTTCAACATCCTTAGTCATCAGGGATATGCAAATCAAAATGACTCTAAGATACCTTACACTTATACCTGTCAGAATGGATAAGACCAAAAACACTGATGACAGCCTATGTTGGTGAGGATGTGGAGAAAGGGGAACACTCCTCCACTGCTGGTGGGAGTACAGACTCATACAGCCACTTTTGGAAATCAGTATGGTAGTTTCTCAGAAAATTGGGAATCAATCCACCTCAGCACCCAGCATTAACACTCTTGGGCATATACCCAAAGGATGCTCACTCATACCACCAGAAAGAATTTCTGCAGTCCAAAACAACATAACTACAGAAGTGAAGTCTCATAATAAAGGTCTAAGTTCCAGACAAGATTGCCTGCTGTCCCTACTCTTGCTCAGCCTTGTACCTGAAGGGGCTAAGCATACCAATGATAAAGATAAGGAAAAGGCGTCAGGCTTGAAATGGAGAACTAAATGCTTATTATTAGTGAATTTAACTGTGTTCAAATGCACCTATAGATAAACAAAGCAACTTAAACCATCTTGATGAAATATGTCGATCAAAGAAAATAAATTACTATTTTCTATATTAACAACAGAGAACTACAACATGGGAATCCAAGCACCAGCATTAGTACCTTGAAATAAATTTTAATAATTAGGAATACATCTGGTAAGGATACATAAGAAATCACATCCAGGAAAATGTAAAAGTGGAAACATATACTTTAATATTTAGAATCATTATTATAATGGCATACACCCATAAATTCAATGTAATGTTACTATATTGTGCAACACATTTTTGTATTTACTTATTTTTAGTGACAGTAATGTTTGTTCCTAGCTTGTTCTAGCATTTAAAGTATAGAAAAACAAATGAAAAAAAATAGGTAAGACAGTTTTAAAATAGAAACACAACGTAG